GAATGCATTAGCATAATAGGCCACACCCAACAGCAAAAACTCATTAGAATTGGCTACATTAGGGGTGTGTGGCCTAACATGCAAAGGAGTTCCTGCTACAAAAAAAAAAGCCCTGGGTTTTGACAACAAACAAGGTAAACAGAATAAGAAGCAAAAGGTTGGTGTGGCTGGATGAGCACACTTCTGGTAACAGGGGGAGTGGCCTAATATGCCAATGAGCCATGCTGTCAGGGGTGTGGCCTAATATGCTAATGAGTTTCTGCTGTTGGGTGTGGCCTATTATGCTAATGAGTTCCTCATGGGCTTTTTCTACAAAAAAAGACCTGGCCATCCTTAACTCTAGTTCACCTATATATTTGCTAATGCTGATTTTTCTTGAATTGCAAATATTATCTTCAGGTAGTAATGCCATGCTCATTCCTGTTATTCTAAATGCCACATCTAATACTATTATTAGTTTGAGGAGTAACCTACTAAACCCTTTTGATTCGGAGTAAAAATGGACCATTTACATATCATTCCCAAGTGCTTAAATTTACCTTCACTATTTTGGAATACACTCCCCGGGGAGATTTGTCTATCTCCCTCTATTGGTGTCTTTTGCCAGCAAGTGAAGATTTTTTTTTGTTTCAGCTGGCATATGCCCAATAAAGGCTACTGGCCATCCTCTGGTGTCATTTGTTTTGCATTTTAATTGAATTATTTTATAACTGTTTTTTAATTGCTCAAATGTTTTAAATTATGTTCACTGTCTTATGGACCCTGACTGGGCAGAAAGACAGCATAACCATGATTTAAACAATAAATAATAAAAATACTGTAGGAACAGATGTTCAGTTCAACTAACCTTACCTGTTTTGACCATTTTACTGCTTTTTCTGTCAGATATCTATATACGACTGGTCTCCCAACTAAATAGGACAACATATAACAGAAAGAAGCCCCAAGTCCAGAGCACTGCAAATGAATAACAATATATATATTAATTGGGTTCTTCACGTCTACCGTCTCCATATGAAAACTATCCTTGGTAGACTACCATCATCTGAAGAACCCCACTGAATGGTACAGTTCTATTCCTCAAACCACTTAGTTTTTTTAAACAAATGAAATTAATTAAATGATAGCCACAGGCATAGGCAGCTTTAAAAGGGGATTAGACAGATTCATGGAGGTTAGATCTATCAGCGGCTACTAAGCCATGGTAACTAAAGGGACCCTCCACATTCAGAGGCAGTAAATTTCTGAATATCAGCACCAGAAGGCAACATCAGGAGAAGGCCTTGGCCACTATGTCCTGTTGTTGGTCCTCCACAGTAACTGGTTGGCCACTTTTTGTGACAGATGCTGGACTAGATCAATCACTGGTCTGATCCAGCAGGGTTCGTTGTATGCTCTCAATATCCTTCTGTAACCATCCTGAGTATAATTAAGATGTGGTAACAATACTTATTTTTAAAATGCTGTAGTAAAGGGCAGAGCTATACATTCGAAAAACAATACTCCCTCTTAAAACAGTGCCCCTTCAGTCTGCCTATAGGGAACTTCAATTTTAAAAAATCTTCTCCCATTGTAATTTATCAGTACTAATCAGAAAGTTGTATTTTTGCAAAGCATCAGCGGCCTATATTAGATTACTAAATAATTCAGCACCCCAGAAAGTAATCCCTGTCTGAAACTCTGGCCCACTAACTTTGAATCCTTGCCAATTGGATCCTGCCAATTGCCACCCAGTTATCTCTCATTCCTGGGCAAGGTGATTGAGAGAGCGGTGGCCTAGCAGCTCTGGGGTGTCTTGGAGGACACATTGGCCCTAGACCCATTCCAGTCTGGCTTCCGGCCATGGGACAGAGACAGTGCTGGTCGCCCTCACAGATGATCTCTGCAAGTAGCTGGATCGAGGCGGGTCGGCACTGCTGCATTTTTTGAATCTGACGGCAGCGTTCAACATCATCGACCACAACTTGTTGGCCTACCACCTTGCCGATGAAGGAGTTCATGGAGTAGCCTTGAAGTGGCTTATTTCATTTCTCCAAGGTCAGGGACAGAGAGCAGTGCTTGGAGAGAGGGTATTGTCCTGACCAGTGTTCCCTCTAAGATGAGTTAGTGTGAGCTAGCTCACAGTTTTCTAGCCTCCAGCTCACACATTTCTGTCTTTGCTCAGGAAAGAGGGCTCCAGAGCAAACCAACTTATGCATTAGCCAAATCACTGGCTCACAACTATAATGCCAGTAGCTCACAAAGTAGAATTTTTGCTCACAAGACTCCACGGCTTAGAAGGAACATAGGTCCCGACACCCTTTGGTGTATGGGGTCCCTCTCAAGGGGCCATCCTCTCTCCTACGTAGCTTAATATCTATATGCGCCCTCTTGCCCAGCTGGTGCAGAATTTCGGACTGGGTTGTCACCAGTATATTGATGACACCAAGGTGTACCTATGACGGGCAGCCGGCCAGCTGCCACCCCTTCTAATTTGGCTGCGGGATTGGAGACTGTGGATGGATGGTTGAAGCAGAGATGGTTGAGACTGAATCCATCAAAAATTGAGGTCCTGTGGCTCGGAGGGGGTGATCTGAGTTTGGGCTGCCAACTCCCAGCTCTTGATAGTGTAATTAATTTATTATTGTACATTGTAACCTGTTGTGCACTACCCTGAGCTCCTCGGGGAAGGGCGATCTATAAATTTTAATAACAACAACAACAACCCCATCCATTCATGTCAAGAGAAAACCTCAGTTGTTCTGACAGTGCATTGCCTTTACTATTAAATATTGCATTTCTACTACATGTTTTATTCCTTTTTAGGATCCTTTTAGGATCCCACTTGGGAACGAAACCAGCCCTGTTTTTACATCTCAGTTATTAGTACTTGTCACCTTGTCATCTAAATATAAACCTAGGATCACTGTCTATCTAGCTAGACACCCATTAAATAGAGAACTTCTCTGTACATCACTTTAATAACTGTTACAAGTCAGATTTTCGGCTTTGTAAGTATTCACAGTGGAGCTGCGGTGGCTCAAGTGGTTAAGACGCTGAACTGCAGGCTGTGGAAGGTCAGTAGTTCAGCAGTTCAAGACCCGGGTGCCGCAAGACGGGGTGAGCTCCCGTCTCTAGTTCCAGCTCCTGCCAACCTAGCAGTTCGAAAGCAAGAAATTGCAAGTAGATAAATAGGTACCAGTTCGGTGGGAAGGTAACAGCGTTCCGTGCACCTTGGTTTAGTCATGCCGGCCACATGACCACGGAAAAATCTTCGGACAGCGCTGGCTCTTCGGCTGTGAAACGGAGATGAGCACCGCAACCCTAGAGTCGGATTCGACTGGCTTTCGAGCAAGGGAACCTTTACCTTTACCTTTAAGTATTCACAATTGTCTCTGCACAACAGATCAAATACCATTAATAAACATTTGGAATGAAAAAAACGCATCCTCAGCTGCAATACTTACCAAGCAGACAAGAAACAGAGCTAGGGGGAATGGATAGAGAAATCCCGAGAGTATACTCAGAAATATAGACCCAGGAATAGCAAACGTCTGTAGGCTAGATTATTTTTAGTTAAGGATCAAATTACTCAGCATTTATAAAAACAAGAATTCAAAGTGATTTCCCCAAAATACATAATTTGTAAAAAATAAAATAAGATTGTAATCTTAAAAGTATTACCAGCACAAAGCAACTGAAAGCTGGGCACAATTCAGACTGCACAAGTAGTTCAGTTGTTCTTGACGGGCAAAACCCCTAGTGAACAGTCCTCACTTCCTCATGCCACATACACAGATAGAAGAGGGAAGTCTTTATCACCAATTACCCGTGAAGCCATCACAACTAATTGGAGGTAGCTGAAGTTTTCTGATTTCACAAAAGGGAGGGAGCATACAAGCCTGAAAATTCAGCAGGTTCCCACCATAAGGAACAAACTTGGTTTTGTTTGGAACCTGTGAATGGAACCTTACTATCTGGAGTACTGCCTATACTGTTTAGGCAAACAGCACCCTAATATCTCCTTAAAGAATTTATCTTTTCCTTTTGAGGGTACACCTAAGATGTACATACACACATAACTGAGAAGTGTGGGAACACTTGTAACATACCTGTACATTTCTCAGAGCAATAACTGGCTGTAGCCACCTATTTAGTATACTCTCAGTGGGTAACACAGGATTGCTCCATGCCCATTCAGCAAGGAGCAGCAGCTTAATTGTGTTCATCAATGTACTCAATGGAATGTACAGTCGGTTGTTTGAGCATGATTTAAGGGTGTGTTTTTTAAACACCACAACATGACTGTTGAGAAGACTGTCACCATCCGCTTTAGAAAATGTAGAATTGGAGTATGCTGTTCTGTTCTTTTAATCAGCAATACCAATATGGTTTCACACTTGTTAATCAATACTAAATCTCAGCTCTCTGTCTGTCTCTCTGTTAAATTCTATGAATATAGTTGCAGGGAAGTGTGTTTTGTAGCATAAATTGAAACTGAACGGCGGTTCAATAGCCCTGATTTTAATTTCTAAAAACTGCTCAGGCAGACTAATCACAACACGCCCCCAACTTTGAAATTATCAATAGATCATTAAGTCAATAGCTCATTTTTACCGAAGTGTTTTAACAGCCATAACAAATTACCATATATCCCCCACAGGAGAACACACAAATAAAAATAAAGCTGCTTGATTTAACAAGCAGGCTAGGTGTTGAAATTTCTCTCTCAAAAGTAGGCTTTGCAGCATACCAATATCTGCTACATGAGAGAGTAAAAAGTCTCCTGAATCCTCATTTCTATGGACTTCATGCATGCAGTGTTTTAACAGCTTTGATATATAGCACTAAACTAAATCGTTAATTTCCTTCTTAATTCCTGATCACTTACAGATTTAGCTCAGTTATTCACTCCTATGGCATTTAATCCCTTAAGATACAGAATATTAATTAATTGTGTTGACGGAGACAGATTCTATTCCATTCAAATGAAGACAGTTGGCCAGGACCTCCCTGCGTGGAGAGTTAACTATGATATGGGTTCAGTATCATCTTGATTTTATGAAGTAAATTAAAGCTAAGAGGGGTTGGGGACATTCCCCCAGTAGCCTCTCAATGCATTCCTGTCCCACGCCAGCGTCCCTTGCAATAGCAAGACGTCTCTCCAGGCGCCCAGCAGCTGCCATTTACAGATGCTGCCAGCAATGTTCCCTCTAAGCTGTGGAGTCTTGTGAGCAAAAATTCTACTTTGTGAGCTACTGGCATTAAAGTTGTGAGAGAGCGATTTGGCTACTGCATAAATTAGTTTGCTCTGGAGCCATTCTTCCTGAGCTAGGACAAAAATTTGTGAGCTGGAGACTAAAAAACTGTGAGCTAGCTCACACTAACTCAGCTTAGAGGGAACACTGGCTGCCAGTCCCCCCAACTATTGCCGGCCCCCGCCAAAGACGTCCTGCCACTCACAGTGGTTCTCCAGCCACTCCTGCTTGGCTGCCGCGCACATGGAGGAAAGGGTGGACAAGATGGGCTGTGGCAGCAACAGTTGGCCAGGTCCAGGGCTCGCCAGAAACGACAGTCATATTCCCATGGCCCATCTGTGGCAGCCCTATGAGCCTCTGAGCTCCGAAGGGGGTGTCAACAGTACAGGGATGCTTCCACGCCACACTGCGCACTTTGGTCCCCCGTAGCTGCAGCCAAGGGAAGCCTCCTCCTTGTCACCCAATCTGTTTTTCAAAATGGTTTGGTCACTTGAACAGGGGAAGGGACGATAGCGACTACAGAGCGAAGAAGTTCCACCAGGTGAGACGATCGTGCCATGCTTAAGTTGCACCCCAGGCCGGAGACTGAGGTGTACTTTCCACAGGCACTATGGAAGGGAGGGCGTTCGTGGAAGGACCACACATCTGTACAGATGGCCAATCACCCCACAGTGTAGGCCCCCAGCATCCACCCAAAGGCAGGCAGAGGCTCCTAGCTCTGTGGGCGCTGGGTCCCAGGACAGTTTCAGATGGCTGGGACCTGGCTTGGCACATATAGCTGTCAGGAAGGGAAGCCATCAGGCACATATCAACTGTGGTTGTCCTTCATTTTTGCCTAGCAGATGCTGTTATGTGCCGTCCAAGCGCCATATTTGCATAGGCAAATATCCCTGGAGCAGCCTGGACCCAGGTGGGCCAAGCAGGCCTCCATAGGGAACTGCTCTGTGAAACTGACCATCTCTGCGGAATGCAACCTGAGAAGACTCAATAAGGTGGCAGCCCCTTAAGCAACAGCATCATTTGCACAGTGGTTCCTGCATGGATCATCAGCCCTTGCTAGCCCCACAGGCCCAGGGACCACCACCAGGACTGATCAATTAGTGCGCACCCATGGCATTTGCATCTGTGCTCACTGCTGTGGCAGTACATCTCCCCAGGGCTATTTTTGGGCAGGAACGCACAGGAACGGAGTTCCGGCTGGCTTCCAAGTTGGCCATGCCTAGCAGGAACTCATTAGCATAATAGGCCACACCCAACAGAAGAAACTCATTAGGATTGGCTACATTAGGGGGTGTGTGGCCTAACATGCAAAGGAGTTCCTGCTACAAAAAAGCCCTGGGTTTTGACAACAAACAAGGTAAGCAGAATAAGAAGCAAAAGGTGGGTGTGGCTGGAAGAGCACACTTCTGGTAACATGGGGGGCCAATGAGCTGTGCTGTCATGGGTGTGGCCTAATATGCTAATGAGTTTCTGCTGTTGGGTGTGGCCTATTATGCTAATGAGTTCCTGCTGGGCTTTATCTACAAAAAGAGCCCTGCATCTCCCCTAGGGCTGCCCTGGCTGATCCAAGATGGCTCATGGGGCAGTCCTGCAGCTTTTGGGTTTGTGGTGTGTGCTTTTGGCTGCGTAGAAGGCGGCGACGCGTTGCCTTTCCGTCTCACCCATCTGTGTCTGCTGCCGTAGCAGCATTATTGTCAGGACGGGTCCCCCACTGGACTTTTGTCTGTGATGATCATGTGGCTTGTGTGGCACTCCCCATGTGCTTCCCCCCCTCCCACTGTCCACAATAACAGCACCTGGGATGGACACAATGGATGACCTTTATTGGAGGACACCTGAGTGGTAAGGCTAGGATCGCAGTACTGCTGCCTGGATCACCACTTGGGTCCTTTGGTGCTAGGGGTGTCTCCCCAATGGGCGTGGGTAGGAGGCTGGATGCCAGGAGGCTGTGTCCATGTGTTCCTGAGGCCCAGCTTCTGGTATAGGGAGGGCACGTGGTTGGGTTTCGGCTCCTATCCTGCCACCGAGGTGTGTGTGCAGTAGCTCTAAGTCTGCACAGTAGGGAGCTCTCAGACAACATCCTGTGCAACACACCCTACCTCTGGAGTTGTGGGGCAAACTCCTGGAACCATTTGTAGGGCAGGGCAGGGCGGGCCATCATTAGGTGCCGGAGAGGAGCGGGGATGGCGTGGGGTGTGTGCTGACTGAGTGCACACCTGGTCAATATCCTGAGCTGCTTGGGTACCTGAGGGCGTGGCCACAGCTGAGTGAGGGGGAAGTGAAACGGGAGTTACCATGGCCACCAATGGGCTGCGCCACCATTTTTGCCAGCACAATTTTGCACCTGTTCTGGGGTGCGTTCTGATTCTGAAAATGCTTTGGGAGCCAACTGGCTGGCTGGCGCCATGCCCCCTGAAACACCCACATTTCCGCTGGAGCTGGGGTTCACACCATTACTCTGCTGGTGTGCAGCCACAGTGCAGCCATGCCGATGCAAGTGCACAGTGCTACTCGTGCCCTCCACTGGCATCAATACCCCTTACACCGGCGTGTATCGGAATTACGCTGGTGTTGGGGGTCAGTCGACTCCCTATTCTGATTCGCCCCCCACTCAGGATTGCTCTATTAGTATAAGCCAGCTGTATTTGATCAAATATGTGCTTTGACTCAGGAACCGGGGGCTACTATCAACATGCAGGCATAAAAGTATCTAGAAAAACCATTTCACACCATATTTCATGAAATGATGTACATTTTTCATATAAAGAAGGATACAAAACATAGGTAGCAAAATAGGCTACTAGTACTTGTACATAGAAGGTATCCTTATATTTAGAGAGCACTTTTCCCAAGGCTTTAGCATCATCCATGTCTCTGGGGACCTTTATACATTCTCTCTCCTCCCTGTATGCAAAACAAGGAAAGAAAGAAGTTACCAAAATATAAAGATAAGACTTTCACCAAGCAAAAAACTAACAAAGACATATGCTGCATCATGACCCTAAAGTTAAGGGGCAGTTTGAACAAGCTTATGAACTTGTGATGGGAAGAAGGTCACAGATGCCCTGCTCATAATATCTGCTCCATCCCTTGGTCCAAGAGAATCCATTAATGTCCCATCTGCATACTGGCTATCCACGGAAGCTCTAATGCATGGAGACCTGAATCAAGAGGTTATTAAGAGATGCGATGTGTATACTGATGAACTGTCCACGCATGTTACATTTTCAAAGTCATGCTCCTCCCACTATGTGTAACTAGTAAGTTCATCGGGACATAGCTTTGCAAATCTTTCAGGTTTAGAGGCACGTCAGCAAAAATTCACAAGCAATTTTAGATGATCAACATTTCTAACCTCCCTCCTCTCACCCCTCCAACATTAAACTCAAAGTCATCATTCAAAATGAACATAAATATGAACGTAAACTCAAATAGCCGCTCAAGGATTTTAACGGCTCATGGTAGCCAATGGAGCAGTTCTGTTTTCAACAAGAGTCATTTGTAGCATTTAACTCTGAATAAGCAGGTTGTCTGGTTTGAAAATGTAGTGGATAAAAAGTTTAAAGAGAGCAAGCTAGAACAGAACCGCCTAATCTTGTACATGTTTAACCAAAAATAATTTCTATTTCCAAAAAGTATGGATAAGATTGCTCCAAGCAAGGGACTATATCCGTGCACTTGCAGACAAAGACACAGTGAAAGATTGAAGGGATCAACTACAACACCACAAAGAAGTGAAGCAGCTCAAAGAACAGACCATCAAGAAGAAGAAGAGGAGGAGGACGAGATTGGATTTATACCCCGCCCTTCACTACCCAAGGGAGTCTACAAAACTGCACCTCTTATGTTCCTGATTTTACCCGGGCTTCAAAGGTGAAGAAGAAGAAGAAGAGAAGAGGAGATTGGATTTATACCCCGCCCTTCACTACCCAAAGGTGTCTCAGAGCAGCTTACAAACTCCTTTCCCCTATCCTCCCCACAACAGACACCCTGTGAGGTAGGTGGGGCTGAGAGAGCTCTGACAGAAACTGCTCTTTTTCAAGAACAGCTGTACCAGAACTATGGCTTGCCCAAGGTCATCCAGCAGGTGCAAGTGGAGGAGTGGGGAATCAAACTCGGTTCTCCCAGATTAGAGTCCACGCTACACCAAACCAAAAAAGGGCGTGAGAAACAGTAGGCAGGTAGAAAGTGAGAAACTTCGCAATAATTTACAACAAAAGGAAGGATTAAAGGCCTAAAATAATTCTGGACAAGATAGGTCAAGAAGTGCAAGATCCCAGATTAATTCTTAAGGAAGGCATTATAAAAAGAACTTTAAAGGGAACTGTGAACCCCCAAAATAAAAAGAATACAGAGGAAAAACAGACATAGCAGGGGAGCATAGCAGAGACTATAACGTGGCAGAGGAAACTTTGTACAAAAATCTAGAGGGTCATCTAGCTTCATGGTAGGAAATCCACTACATAAAACACCCCAGAGAGCTGCTTCTCCAATCTCTCTTTCAAAGCCCTTCAAGGAAAGAAATTCCCATTTTATTATTGCACTGAGCTGACAGGTTGGAGACTTTCCCAGACGTTCAACTTACTCGGTCTTTTTCCAACTGTTTAGTATCCCCCATCCCATTTATCCGTCTCCTTCCTGAATGATGATGCCTCACAGCATATGGTCTTACAAGTACTAACTAAAAAGGCGCTAATCAAGCACACTAGGCACTAAATATTGTAGAAATGTGTCAGAATAAAAGGAAAACAGATGTAGCAAATACAGAGATTTAAAAAGGAGGAAATACTGAAGACAACTGACAAGGATCCATTAGCACTAGGCCTTTTTAAAAGCTGAAATGACTAACAGGCCATTTAAGAATGAATGCCTCAAATTACCTACAGAACTAATATTGGGGGGAAATTTATGGAACTCTTAGGAGGCAGAAAGAACTCTTAGCAAGGTCAAAGGCGGAGTCCATAGACATGGCTGTGCTACAAAAATGCAAACCAGTTTCAGGTCCGCTGAACTGTCAGTGCTCCTTATCAAGCAGCTTAGGAAACCTCTAGGTCTATGGAGAGAGAAAGAGGACAAAGTTCTCCAACAAAGAATTTTGAACACTTTCACAAAAATACAACTCCTTTTGTGGCAAACCTCTGACAGCTGAAACAGTCATATTAATTTCAACTTGGTTTATATTTGCAGGGCAGGGGTACCTGATACAAGTGATATTTGCTAGAGTAATGGCAAAAGTTTGAAAGGAAGTCTCTGCAGAAGTGGTTCCCAGCAGGGCTGGGAAGTTCAGTTCTACCAAATACTAATCAGTGGTTAGTTTGACCTCTGATCTTATAGTGTATGATAAAGGTGTGCACTCGGTATATACTGAGCCGAATACCTGAAAAATACCCTAACAGTATTTTTCAGGGGTTTATTCAGCCGAATACGGATCAGAGATCTATATTCAGCTACCAAAATAGCCATGCTTTTATAGTAATATCAGCTTTTATCTGCTTTTATTCAGGTGCGGCTAAATGTATTCAGTTCACTGGCTGAGTTGTGCCACTGCTGCGTGACTCAGTAAAGCAAACTGAACGTATTTAAAGTTTAAATGCCTTCGGTTCACTTGCTAAGTTGCGCTGTCACTGCAGTACAACTTGGACAGTGAAATTCTCCATTATACCCTATGGGGACAGTCAGAATAAGGTATAATGGAACCAAATAAATTCTGGGTCTTTCTCTACCTGCTCTATCCCATGCATAATCTTATAAACCTCAATCATGTCTCCTCTCAGTCGTCGTTTCTCCAAGCTAAAGAGCCCTAAGCGCTTTAACCTTTCCTCATAGGGAAAGTGTTCCAACCCTTTTATCATTCAAGTTTCCCTTTTCTGCATTTTTTCCAAAGCTATAATATCCTTTTTAAGGTGTGGTGACCAGAACTGCACACAGTATTCCAAATGAGGTTGCACCATTGATTTATATAGGGG